TTAAAGCTTTAATTGCAGACAGGCATTAGTACAATTTGGAGGATACTTTACTCTGGTGGAAGGGGCATTCCCTTGCTAAATGCGTATGCCTTTGCAAATAACATTATAGCTTGTGCCTGTGACTCCTCAGCTGTTGCCTGTCGCTCCTGCCTGTCAATCTTTCTCTTTATTCCTGGATGACGAGTCCGTCCCCTATGTTGAGGAGGGCGAACCTGTCAAAATACCCAATTAACACTAAGTGGTATGAATATGTGAGTTGATAATCATTAGTACCAAATGGAAAGTACCTGTTTGCTGACACTGACACCAGCACTCATTGTAATTTCTGGATTGGCATCCACATCATATTGCTTTATTTGGTGCATCACCTCCATAACGGCTCTGGTGCCCTCATTTTTAACTAATTGCAGTAGTCCTGCACTCCCAGTACTGGTTGCATCATCACAGAGACTCCGATACTCCGAACTGAGTGAGTTGTATTTCGATTGGCAAGCCTGCCATTTGTGCACGTACTTTTTATCAAGCAATTTCTGGCTGATCATTCGCCAGAAGTCAGTCTTCCCCAAGGCATTATTGTAATCCTCTTTGTGATCGAGGAACAACTGCACTAGGGCTAGTTCTGAGTTGATTGTCCAAGATGATGCTGAAAATTAAGATGTTTTATTCATGACTCTGAAAGTGAACATGTGACCATTACATGAAGTAGGAGTACTTACCCTCAGAGAAATGTGCAAGATCATCAAGGAATAAGTCATCTGAAGTGACTGAAGTTACTGAACAGTCCTCATCATTTTTTTTCCATTCAAAGAAGGTCCCCTTGAGAGAGTCCTTACTTGCATTGTTGAAAATTACATTATGTACATTATAGAGAGGATGATTAGTCTTTCCAGACTTACAATTTCGTCTAAACTGCTCCCGAAGTGCGGCTTTTCTTTTACGCATGTCAATGATGTTAGTAGAGACTCCCATGCTAGACATTACTGGGAGAATAGTTTCCAGGAAAGTGTCATGGCTTCCTCCAGCAGGGATATCATCCCTGAAGCGGGCCATGACTTTAAGGAATATATTAGTACCTTCAGTACCAAAGATGTCAACCTTTTCATTGTTTTCCTCAATGAATACATCTAGATATGGATTTAAAAGTAAGGAAATATAGTATACATTCAAAAAGCTTGGAAATCATACAATATAATAACATTAAAGTACACACCATTAGACTCATTTAAGACACTACTTTTGGTGCTCATGCTGGTACCAATTTTTTTAAATGACAACAATTTCTTCTCATAAATAATATTATCCAAATGAACAGCTAGGTTTGCCTCTTCTGAGGTTGAGAACTGTGGCCAACAAGGAAGATGTATTATGTACTTTTGCTATGGAGGGATCATTGAAATGTGTAAGTCAATACAATACCTTCACAATGACATTTTCCTTCAAGGCATCATATAGGAGGTGGTTAAAACAAGGTTCACCCTCTGTTGCAAACCCTGCTTTTTCCATGGCCTTTTGAATACAATCTCCAAATGTTTTCTGAAAAGTAAGGCAAAATAAGGACTATGAGAGTTAGCTATTTCACAGAGGTACAGTGAAAATGCACAGTCTACAAACCTGATTATATGTTTGTGAAACATTGTTCACTTGCACATGGCAGCTGTATTTTAATTCTTCATGCAAAGTGAGGTCATCACCCTCCAAATCATGGTCAATGGTAATGGAAAGTTCTTCTGCAGTTTGCTCATACTTCATTAACTTCAAATTGTGCCCATCAAAAAGGAATTTCTCCAACAGAATAAGGTGATTTACACACTGACCATTGATGAACTGGTGTAACAGTTAGAAAGATTGAAGGAATATTGTTTAGCTAGGTGTAAAACCATAGGAGCTCGCATCATTACCTGTACAACTACTGTATCCCAGCTGGAGACTGATGATACATGTAGTGCTGCCTCCTCTCCTTTAGGCACAACACCTGCCTCCCAGCAAATTTCATTCAAAGAAAATTTAAGGAATGCCTCCATCTCCTGTAAGAACAATTACAATTTGACATGAGAAAGTAAATGCTTAAGCAAAAGTCCTGAGACAAATAACTACTTAGCACAACATACTTCATCAAAATTGGAGGGAATACCAGAAACAGTAATTCTCAACTCTTCAGTAGAATTTTGATTGAAGGGCTCCACTGTTATCTGTTGGCCCCTATACTTAAATCCTATCTTGTCTTTGATAATGTGGTCACTGACCTGCACATTAGCAAACTGCAACATGCAAATACACATTATGGGTTGTCCGTGTACCATTTGACCAAACATAAACAAATGACATTATCGACGTGTCCCTGGAGCAAAGGCGGATCTGCGCGCGACCGATGAACAAGGGCGCATCTGTTTCGGTGCCGCCGAAGAAGGACGCATCTGTTTTCCGTGAGATTCGCGTAGGTGAACTTTGGACGCTCCTCACACCTCAGAGGTTTGTCCTATATATTTGGACGTTAGCTCATATTAATCCTTGATTCTTCATTAGTATGTACCGTAAGTTTTGCTGCTGTGTTACTTCTCTACGTTAAACGGGAAACATTTAAAGTTCCCCCTAGCGAATCTCGCCAAAAGCAGATGCGCCCTTCTTCGGCGGCACCGAAACAGATGCGCCCTTGTTCATCGGTCGCGCGCAGATCCGCCTTTGCTCCAGGGACACGTCGTTATGATAGATCAACAAATGTATAACACGATACCTCAAAAGTCACGAAGTCCACATCTGTACTGACGGACAGAATGCTGTCAGAGTACTTCTTTGCCAACCCTGCATCCCACAGCTTTTTATTGAATAAATGCTTCAGTGCTTTCTGAAATAAGTTACATGAAACTATGACACCATGCGGGAGAAATACAAGCATTACAATGCCAGACACAAAATGACAACTACTCACCAAATCAAATGTTGAGGGCAGGCCAGAGACTTTAATCTTGCTAGCCGCAGCCACCTAGGAATCAAAAGACAAATTTTAAGAGGGATACATCATGGAAATAGACCAGAGGACAAAATGATTTCCCCTTACTTACACTGATAGATGTTTCCACTGAAGCAGTTGCAACATGGGAGTTGTCAGGGCAAACAAAAGAACCACCAGGAGACTTTTCTAATGAATCAACATAATCATCTAGGAAATGTCGACCTTTATCTGGACCAACACCTTTAGCTTTCTGGTTTTCCATTTCAGAGTCAGAAGTGCCATTGAAATTAACACAAGAACCACTGTGACTAGGCTCTTCTGAACCAGCATCATTGTGAGTGAAAGAAGGACTGTCTTCTGAACCATTACCTCCACCATGCTGAATTTCCGGCTCACCAGCAGAGTCAGAAGCAGTCTCTTCTATTACAGGAACATGTTCTTCTGAGGTGACAGAAGCACCTGTGACAGTAGGCTCTTTAATCAGAGGAACAAGACCTTCATCTGAACCATCACCGTCATTATTATCGTGTTCAGTATCTGTCTCAATATACTCCACGTCAGACTCTTCAGGCAAGTAGGTCAACTGTAACAAAAGAAAGGAAGTAACAAATAAGAACAATTTATTTAAAAGCATTAGCCAAGGAAATCTAGAAAAGAGAAGCACTATGTACCTCATCATAACAATCAGAATCATCATCATCTTGGTTGTTAATAACATGAGTTGCGTCTTCTTCCAGACTTTTCGCACTAAGAGTATGATTTTGGAATCTGGAAGTCTTTGTTTCAAGCACTTCCACAAACCTTGAAGCAATCTCTTTGGACGACACCTGAACCAAAATGATCATTAGCATGCAATGTTAAAAACCACAACTCACATAGGGTAATATAGGGTCAATTATATTACTTCAATAACAACTTTGTTATTTTTGGGATCATGTGCTTTAAATCGAAACGCGTCAGCTTCAGAGCATATGTTGTTTCGGGTTGCAAACTTGCGGATGTGGGTCATAAATGTCCTCTGTAACCAAAAAAGAGCTGTTCTGTAATACAAAATTTTACAGGCGATATAAAGTTATGCATGTCTAGCTTGTTACCTCCATGAAGAGCTGGGGAACATTGAGTATTTCAATGAAATAACTGTCATTGCTAAGGATATCGGGAAATAAAGCTTTAGAGCAAGAAGCAGGCGTAGAAGATATGAGGGCGGAAGTTTCTTTGAAAGCATCGGGTGTTTTAATGTTGCATAAAATCTTTGGCTGGGGGGAGCGCAGTTCATCAGCAGAACCCAGACCAACAGGGGACGCACAATCTATGGTGAAAGGAAGGGAAATCAAAACAAATATGAAGAAATATTGACCACCTGCTTTCACTCAATAGGGAATGACGTACCTAAATTTGGCACTGCTTCGGATTCTGTACGTAGGTTAGGATGAGGTTCATGAACACTTTTAGCTCTTTCTTGCGCCACAAGAGCATCATCCAGCACCTTGACCGCAAAAGCATGATCTACAAATTCGAAACAGCAGTTTAACCCGTTTAAAAATGTTTTGCCCCGAGAAGTGGACGAA